TAATTATAGATACAATCATTTCTGAATGACAGGTTATATGAACTTACCGACACGGCCAGTATGCCAATTTCGCGAGTGGCTATTATTTTCTAGTGCAACGATTTTTGGCCTTAGGTAGAGTTCAAGTTCAAGTACGTTTATTGAGACAAGAAAATACATCTCAAAAGGATAAAGTAGCTTAGGCTATTTCTACCCCCTCCCTTAAGCAAAGTATACATCAAAATGCAACGAATTTTTTTAATTAGGTGGCCACAGGGGCAGGTAGTTTTAGGGTATTAGGTGGCCATAGGACCAGGCGGTGATGGTGTATTAGGTGGCCACGTGGAGAGGTCTTGGGGAAATTAGGTAGCCACAGGGGAATGGTTTTGGGGTATTAGGTGACCACAAGGGTAGGTGGTGAAGGGGTATAAGGTGACCACAGGGGTAGGCGGTGGTGGATTTTAATACAAGAGGAGACAGCTTGTTAGTGAGGAAATGGCAGGAGCGGTAGTGTCACTCTTCCTCACTTCCCCATCACTCATGCCCATCTCCGTCCCCGCCCTATACACTGACGCGGGTCACTTTGCGCACCTATAACTCTGCTCAACCCACTCACCACAGCTGCACACCCGTGTTCAACCGACTCACCGCAGCTGCACACCCGTGTTCAACCGACTCACCGCAGCTGCACACCTGTGTTTAACCCACTCACCACAACTGCTTATGAAAGATGTCTTGAAGGTGTGGCAAGTTGTCACAGCTCTAATGGATAAAGAGTGGGCTGTGGATAAGGAGTTCGATCCCATTAATTTACATTAATTTTCGCATTGTATTTTCACGCTATTGTGAACTTAATTTCCACTGACAGTGAAGAAAGATGGAGGTCCTATATGGCGCAGTGGAGTGCGTCATTGACTCACCTTCGAAAATCCCTGGTTTGATGTCCGCAGTAAGACGGAAGCATTTGGGAAACGTTCCTTTTCACCTAATAGTTCATATATAAATTATTATGGATATTTATTATCATTTCTGTAAAATAAATCGAAGTTTATTAGTTCATCAAACCATTAAAGCCCAGTTAGCCTATAACATGTTCAAGTATTGATACCCATAAGATTAACATAAAAGTTTAAACTACTCTTTATAATAATGCAGAAGAATGTATGTTATTTAAGCTATAGCTTTCCTTGTAAATATTGATTTAATAGGTGAGAATTATAACAAGTATTCTTACAGTAGGCCTATTTAATAACACTTATGGGAGGATGGCAAATATTTAGAGCAAACATGATAAACTTATCTGAGATGACATCTCTGTGGGAAGATTATGTTATGTTGAGTGGTAGATATATACTTCGTACTACATAATATAATTTAACAATAACTTCGTTTCGCTTTTAAATTGATTAAAATGTAGCCTAGAATTTAGGACACAAGTTCACAGTTTAGAATCCTCCTTTTTGACCATCCACTTCAGTTGGTCAGCACAACGATGGTCTCGATTTTTGCAGGATCGACGTTCGATTCCCGATGGTCCAAGTGGTTGGGAACCGTTCCCTCACTCTATCTTCATATCCCAGCTCCTTGTCCTCGTATCTTTTACAAAGACTATATAGTCATACATGTTTAGCGTTTTCTTCTCGTAATGTCCCTGCATTGCATTTCTGCTTTGGTTGAGTAGGACTCTGGATCATCACAGATATATTTACTGTTTTTCCTGTGTTTTACTTTACTTAATATATCATTAATCCCAAACCCACTGTGAAATCTGGCAGAAATGTTACAGAGGCACATAATGTGCTCAAAGATTGAGCCTTAATATTTGCTTTACTATAAAAGTTACAACTATGTTTAACAAGCTTTAGAGTTTTTATGCATATTCATTACAGCAGTCTATATACAAATTTAGTTAGCGAAGACTAGTAAGGGTATTAGACCCAATATATATTCCAGTCATGGCTCCCGCACCCATTCCGGATCAATGAGCTGCATGCTACAGAAACTCATATATAAGGAGCTCAGGAATTGAGTAAACATTTGATTATCTATAAGCAAATGACAGCATTAACGAACTAGTTTCAGAGTCTATTACTTATATTCGTTTGTTACGAAACTAGTAGTCTAATATACAGTGGACACGATGTAAACAAATATATGAAACTATGCACTGTTGCAGTCTTCTAAAAAGCGTTTAATGCATTTATATTCTGCACGTTCAAGTCTTTAAATAAAGGTACTGTATATTGCCTGAGATTAGAGTTTGTTATTGTTCTAATTGCTGATTTGTAATGAGTGGCCCTAATCGGGTATCTGAGGCAGTTTCCAGTCGTAGAATCCTAACGCAGATATCATTATCATATATATATATATATATATATATATATATATATATATATATATATATATATATATATATATATATATATATATATATATATATATATATATATATATATATATATATATATATATATATATATATATATATATATATATATATATATATATATATATATATATATATATATATATATATATATATATATATATATATATATTTTAACAGATGGGAACAGGCATAGAAGGCTTGCGACCCCCTGTTAGCAGGCGTAGAGATTTCCTTGCCCATGGTTCATGGTAAGTCTTACCCACAGCTTTCCCTGGCACACGATCCGCCAATTGGTTTATAACCACGTACCTAATTACTGTTGGGTGAACAAAGGGGAACAGTTAACAACAGGTGCCCTTAGTGAACCCTCCCCGGCCATGACTCAAACTCAGACCAAATCGCAGGCGATGCGCGGGCCGAGTATATTAGCCTGGTAACCTGTGCTGAGCTAATTATATATCGTAGCTAAGTTTTTTTAAATGACAATTGAAGTCCAATTTTATGTTTGTGTATAGGTTTATGAATTTTCCTTTTTTGATATTCAAATCATCTATTATGATCATTCCAGATAATAATTAATGTTATGGGAGACATCGCCTTGGTATCTTGCATTTCGTTCCTTCTCAGTATAAATATTGTTAGTTTACAGATAAAAGAAGCATAATTTAAATTCCTGATAAAAGGCGTAGCCTTTATTTACCTGACTATCTGAGGGCAACAATCTCTAGTGATCTCATTGGGGACAAGAAGCCGGCGGTTTGTCAAATGTCCCTCCCCCCAACTTAATTATTACTAGTTTTTTCCAGATTAATTTTAAATTGAAGTAAAGTCTTCGCATTTACGGCTTAGACGGTATAGGCAATTGCATGAGTTTATTACCATTTGGATGAAAAAGAATTTCCTAGTTTCTGTCCTACATTAATTGTGACTTGTAGATTATATTAGTTGTTGCCTCTTTTATGTGTTACATCGGACCTTTTGAAGAAGTATTCTGAATTAATGTCTTTCAATTTGTTCAACATGTTAAAGATTTAGATGTGATCAAGTCTGTTGCGTAGGGTTTACCTGGATGGCCTCCATATCTCTTTATTGGCCTCAACGGGAATAAGAAGTCTGCGGCTTTTCAAAGCTCACTCTGTTGATCCTAGGGATTTTTTCCAACTGGGTTTTAAACTGAAGGCAGTTTTCATCTTTTCGTCTTGGTATGCGTTACAATTGACCTTTTAAAGAAGTGATTTGGATTTGGATTTTACAGCTTGTTTAGTATTTTAAAGGTCTCGATGAAATAAATCTTGTAATGTCTAGTTTGCAGTGTTAGTCATGTGACCTTCAACCATTTCTGATATGAGAGCCGACTTAATTCTGTGATGATTTTTATCACCCGGTGTTGAACTTTCTTCAAAGCAGATATGACCTTCTGAAGATGAGGTTCCCATGTCTGGATACAGTCGCCCAAATGGAGGTGCATCAGTAGCAGTTGAATAATTACCCACTTTTCCTTGAAGCCAAAGGTTCGTTCCTGTAAGAGATTGACTTTTTTTGTTACTGCTCCCAGTTGTTGTGCAAGTTTCAAGGATTGGTGAATTATAACGTCACAATCCTTTCCTTCATCAATCTGTTGCAATGCAATGTTGTTAATTTGATAGTTGCAATGTTCATTTGCCAATCTTCAAGCTATTTGTGGATAATTTACACTTCCTACATTACCATTCATCTTAATGTCATCTACAAATCATGATGTGGTTTATAATATTCTCATCTAAGTCATTGATGTATATGACAATAAAGGTTGATCCCAAGATAGAACCTTGCAGTACCTCACTCACCACATTTTTCTAGTCAGATTCATTTCCATTTAGAACAATCCTTTGCTTTCTTTGTTTTAACCATAATTTTATCCATTCATGTTTTCTACTACTTATTCTATGTGCTTGAAATTTTCTTGGCAGTCTTTCATGTAGTACCTTATCAAAAGCTTGAGAGAAGTCCATGTATGATACATCAACTTGAAGTCCGTTAAATTGCATAGTTGGTTACCGATCCCAAAAATGTGTCTAATGATATTCAAGTATATATAAACATACAAAGCAACACCAAGCTCAGAGTAATAGTGGTTGAAGATAACACTTAGGCTCATGAAATCCTTACAGATAAAAACAAGTTATTACGATCAATAAGTCCAATGTGAACATTGTTTCTAGTTGTCACAATTTCCTCTTTGGTCATATTTCGATAACCAATGTTTTATACGCACAGTAGCTTAAGAAAAGGGCTTTAGTATTTAAAATGTCCTTAGTTGATTGTGTCTTTGCTTTATCGCGGTGAGAGAAGAGTGGTGGAGAGGCTGTGTAAGGAAGGATATGAGGCGATAGTGAGAGTCCCAGTACAAACATTTCCGCTGGTGGCAGATAACACCGTTCTCCCTCTTACCACGACCGCCGCTCCCGTCCTCTGTCATTCCCCTCATCCCAGGCATATTATACTCATTCCCACCAACATTACTTATTGTATCGAATGTTTGCTTTACGCGAAGAATACATCTGGTGTATAAAATGTCCGTGAAAGGCCGTAAAAGCGAGGGAGTAGAGGCGAGCGAGGGGGAGTGAGGTGGCGGGAGGTTTTGAAGTAGTTGTGGAGACAGCCGGGCGCGGCGCTGCTGGCAGTATTGTCTGGTTGATTATTTTGGTTCACGGAGTGAGGGAATTTGTCTGGCTGTAGCATTACCTGCTGACTTAACTGTAGCTTGGAGCGAGATGTGAACCTGGTGCAGGCGGTGGTGCAGGGCGTGTGCGAGCGAGTGTAGTGCCCCTGCAGGGCCCCCATGGCCTCCAGGGTGCCTGGGAGTGCCAGAGACTAGTGGCTCCGTGAACTTTGATCTCCTCGAAGGCATTCCAGCGAGGTAAACCAATGATTGGGATTGATTACAGCTTCACGAGCACTGACATGAATTTTTGACATGTGCAGCGTGTGGATTTGTTGCAGGAGACGGTAGGCAAGTGAGACTTGAGGTGGTAACTAAGACGTTGACCTGTCTTCAGACGTGAGCATCATACTTGCTTGTGTCATTCTCACTCCTCACATCATAATTACTCCTGACTTTTTTTTTTTAAATTGTGTCCAACTAGGCAGAAATGTGTATATATTATGCATATTGTTCTGAATACCACTCTCAAAATTTGTCTGTTTATGGAGTAAAAAATATTGAAACAAGGCAAACGAGAGTAAGAGTATATTTGTTGATGATTCACTTGTCCAACTGTTATTGTGCTAAATGCTGTCATGTGTGTTCTGTAGTCTTGACTACATTTAAATGTTAAACATGTGTTACACCCTCTACATTCTGATACGTGAATACCTTATTTACATAATGAACAAGTTACTACTATGCTATATAGTGTAGAAAAAAGATGGTTCACACATTGGAACATGTCACTTTTGTGGATCATGTTCTATGTATTACTGGAAGTGTACCATAGCAGAGAAAGAACAGTGTTATTTAAGGAGTAATTAAAGAATTAGCTGAATAATTGCTGTGTGTGAAAAGGTGTCTAGCACAGTGGTCATTTTAGGTGGTTCACATTCCAAAGATCTCGGATCTGATTCTCGTGTGAGATGAGACATTCAGGCATGTTTCTTTACCCGATGTCTATGTTCTGTTAGCAGTAAATGAGTGTCTTAACAAGCTTCTTGTCCCCCAACAATGTGAAGCCATAAGTGCTACGTTCAGAAGTAGTGGAATCTATTTGTTTTTATTATTAGAGTTGCTATACCTTTTTAGATAAGGTGTGGTTAAGTAAGGCTACATTTGGCCAAACTTCGTTTAATTCGTATAGTAAATAGGCTCCATCAGTGTGTGTGTTCTATCAGTTTGTAAAAAAAAATGTGAATATCTTTATCAAAGTAGCATATATATGCCCTCAAGATAACTGGCTTGTGGTCATAATCAACTGAATACAGTAGTTAACAATTACCTAACCTAAATGTTGTAAAGGCTTTGGCTGCTGATCCATAGGGTAATCTAATTTTTTATTGTTTGGATATAAATTTATGGAGTGCTAAAAAGTACAGTAGTGTCTTGATTATTTAATATTAAAAATAATAATTCATTGTGTCGGAGGTGCTATAAAAGTACAGTAGTATCTTATATTATATATAATATTATATAATATATATATATTATATATATATATATATATATAGCCAGTATATATATATATATATGTTAGGCTTGTATTGAGCCCCCCCTCCCTCCAAGGTTGAATTACTGACCCACCCCTGGATGCAATCCCACAACAAGCTGATTAACTATTTAATGCTAGGTGAACAAAGGTATTAGGTGATAAAAAACATACTGAACCATTTCTGTTCCACCTGGGATTTGAACCCAAAATTCCCAATTGTGGGTCGAGAATGAACCCGACTGTAGTACCTGGACCCTCGACTGGTTTTGTGGATGTCGGAGCTGAAATCCAATACACTGTATAGTTATGGTCGCTAGTGTATGTGGATACAGTATCTCCATTTATAAATTGCAGGCTGTAGAATGCTTCGGCTAATGAGGATTAGCAGAAGCTGATTCGGCTAATTAGTCGATTATTCGATATTGTGTAAGACAAAACGTATATTAACATGTAATGACAAATTATAATTACAAAAACTTTGTAATTTAATAACAAATAAATAGACCTATTAATTTAAAAAAATTATTTGAATTCCAAAATAAAAGAAGTATACTTTAGTGACAATGTTCCTAAACATGCCAAATATACGCACTCCATAAAACTCTTGTGCTTCTGTACTGTATTTACAAAGCCCTGCGTTACAATTCAAATCCTGATGTGAAAATTTTTAGAGATGTATTCTAATAAAATTTATGAACCTCGCACTAATACAACTAGCCTATTGACATTCCCAGATTTAAACTCGAACCATGCTAATACCATGTAAATAAAGTGGCCTGAAATATGGAGTTCCCTTCCTGATGATATAAAGAATAGCTCAGCATATACAGTACCCAAAAGTAATGTAAATAACATTAGTTTACCCTCATATGTAGAATCCCACTCTTATTATTATTATCCTTAATTAAACAATTTGCAGTGTTAAATTACAATTACCCGAGAAGTTTGTGCTGCTAATTCACCTATAACCATTAAAAAATATAATTCCCTCATTAGGCCTAGTAATTTTTATTATTATTTATCTTTCTCTAGTAATGTACAATTCCATACTGTAATACTCTTATACTGCATAGTCATTACCAAATTTGAATTACGTCCCACCTAGGACATAAAAGCCTACCAGCTTTTATTTAATCATAATATACTACTAGTTTAAAGTATTTTTAACTAATATTAACTTAATTTTTTTCAACTTTCAAATCATTAGAAATTGTCTGTGTACTGTACTCTATACTTAAATTGTTAGAGCTTAGGGTTTTGCCAGAAACTTTATTGGTGTTAGTAGCTTTATGAGAAGGTACCTAAGTTATTACTTATCCATGTTAATTAAATTCCAGCTACTTTATCCATTTATTAATATGATTGTATTGTATGTTACAGCAAAATGATGAAAATACATGTATCATCTTCATGGGTAAACCATATTAAATATCAGACACTGTGCACATCCATATCCTGTCTGGCATTGTTTGTTACAACAGTAGTCGGTCTAAATTTAGTAAGAGGACGATGTTATCAATTGAGGAAAAGCTTAAATTATTAACAAGCATAGCAAAATTGCATTCTTAATTTAGTTACAGTACAGTATATTCATCCTGTAGGATATAATCACTAGTCTCCAGATATTGACGCCGAAAAAATCTTTAGCTCCTGTACCAGTACTATCAGTACATTCAACAAAACTACAAAAATGCCATTATCTCTATAGCCATAGAGGCCTGGCCGAGAACCGGGCCGCGGGGATGTTGAGCCCTAAAACCATCGCAAGGTAATCTCACTGAATATACGCCAAAGACATTTAAAAATTAAAGATATTTATTAAATAGTGCATGTATATTAGAATAAATATATTAGTTTTGACATGATTCAGTATGTGAGTAGTGCTTGACTCATGAGTTTTTATCATCAAATTCAAGTGATTATATGTATTTTATTAAATGTGCTCTTTTTGTTTTTAGGAAGAAGTACAGTCTTTAAACTGTATTTGACATGGTTTCATATGTCTGGCTGCAAGCAGCACTGTCCAACAGCCTGGTTGACCAGACCATCAACCAGGAGGCCTAATGAGAAACCAGGCTGCAGGGAACTTGACCCCTTCCCCCCCCAAATCAATACAAGGTAACAAGAGAAGATGTTAAAAAAGCGCATTATTGGTATAAAGGGTGTCTAAAGACTGGTAATGAAATTGATCCCATTTTTAGTCTCCAAATTCCAAAATCAAGGACTATTATTGGCATCTCTAAATTCATTGAAAATGCCACTGACCCATCTTAAACACACGATACTACCTTGAATATAATCATCACACTGTAATGGCCAGTGTTTATCAAGAAATGATTAGCTGGGCATTGGTGTCTGGTTTCTAGTTTGTCAAACACATGGACAGAAGCAAATAAAAAAAACGTCTCCAACTTCTCCGTTGGTGTCCATAACAAATAGACACCATTTAAGAATACTGACATGCCCTGCTAACATGTTCCATAATATCAGTTCTAGATGCTCAATCCTTTCCAAGAAATGAGCCACTGACCAAGAGGATACCTGATGTGTCTCCAATAACCATGGAGGTGGAACACAGAGATACATAACACATGGCAGGCTAGGTCTATGGCAGACAAATGGTCTATGGCTGCAAATCTTCGACAGTGTCAGCCATCGGGTCTCCAACCATATCTGAAGACTGGCATCTGACACCTCCATGTTTAATGCCATACTGTATTTCATAATTCTACTCTGGTGTTTGGTTGACAACATTGTTGTTGTTTTTTTCTTTTATTGTACTGATTATGATCCATGTATATGTTGGCAATTTATACTGATCATAAATATATTAAAAGGAGTAATATATTAATACTGCAGTAGGAATTTAATTAGCCTATTTTGTGGATTTTTAAAGTAATCTTGTTGATTTTTATATACTGCTTACTATAATTTTTAACATTTTTTTCTTCTGTATAAGGTTGTACCAGCATTTTTAAATGTATTGTAATGTATATTTTTCTTTCAGATTTCCTCTTGGTCAAGACTTGGCAGTTGAAGATGATATTGCACTTTATCGGAAGGCTTTTAAAATTGTTTGACTTTATGATAATAGTGTGGGTGCTCGAGTGTACTAAAGATTATGATTCCTTGAGCAGCATATATTACCACCATGAAAATCTATTTCGTTAGTTTCAAATATTTGGAAAAATGTAAGCACTGAGATTGAAACAATGTATATAAGGTATAAAAGTTGTGGAATATATATACTGCAGTATCCTATGCTCACACATCACTGTGAAAAATTTATCGGCAGGTTAGCACTGGAAAGTTAGACCTGCTGAAACATTACATTGAGTTTTAGAAATACAGTAGTTCTGTGCACGGTAAGGCTGGCATCAACAACTTGCTGTGTATTACTGCAAACTCATTTGGTGATTTATGTACATACACTGCAAGGAAAAACCATATCAACAATAAAACTTTGGAAAATAAAGTGTACTTCTGTACTGAAGCAATGTCTGGATCATCTAGTCAGACATAATGCCATGAAGATCTGTGCTATCGTGAAAATTAAAAGTATTGTCTAAGTTTCACCATAGCCTGTTCTTAATGATACAGTTTCTAACTTGAACATAAAATTAGATCAATTAACCCTGAACCAATCATGCAGGCTTCAACAGAGATTGTGTATGTTTATGTGGCTCGTCAGAGTTATAGAGGAACTGGAAACAATGACCCCAGTATGGAAGTCAATGATGTCATACATGTGACAGCAGAGTTTCTACACAGTCAGAATGTAATCCCAGAGAGTCCAGATGGATGGCTTTGTGGAACCAATATACGCACTGGCCAGGAAGGCTACTTTCCAGGTGAGCCTATTTTTATTTTGCCTAGCCTTCCCATCGTTCGCTTTGATGTCCAAAGGGATTGGAAAGGATGGGGGGGAGGTAGAGGGATGGGGAGATGAAATTTAGATTGTCGTTGTGCTTAGTTCTGTAATTGGTCTTCCTGGCTGAAAACCATATACATAAACTTATCCTGAATTAGTTTTCTATATGTTGCTGCTACATATAGATTGCTATAGCTACAGCGTAATTAGCTAGAGTTATTTTACAAAAACTTGAAAGTTTTCTCTAAGATAACTGGGATGATGGTTTTAATATACTGTACAGTATTACTTATAGATATGTAGTGTACTTGCCAAGTTGTGTATGAGTTAAGATTCAGCTCCTGGGGCCCCTCATTTTGAGTCATGTAATGTAATGATTACTGTCTCATATTGCACATCATACCTATTCTTGAAATAGCCAAAAGAGTTTTCCCTCAACTATTTTGCTTCCATTTCATTGATCACTTTCTTATATCTTCACATTGACACATGGATTTCTAGTTGCAGCCATGCCCTTTGTTGTGTGTGTGTGTAATTACGTAAGTGTAGATATAGAATGAGAGCTACACGCATGGTGTCCCATCTTCCCAGTAGAACACTCTGTCATATGACCGTTTGAAACTTCTGATGGTTTTGACATGCACTGCTTTCTCACTTGTTCCATCTATCATTCTGTTTGCAAAAAGAGAACTTTCTAATATTTTTTCACACCTTTGTTTCCTTAATTTGAATCTAGTTCTTGAAGTTGCAGTTTTCATGAATTCTGTGTTAATCTTGTTGATAACTGTTACTATTTCTTATGTACTGTATTCTTGATCATATCAACAACATTATCTCCTGTCTTGTAACTTTGACATGTTCTTAATATCTACAGCCTCTCTTCATAGCTCATGTTCTTAAGTCTTCACACCCCTTTCTAATTTATTTGTGTTTCTTAAGATGTGGGCACCACACTACTACTGCAAATTACAATTTTGGTCTCAAATATTTTGTAAAATTTCTTCAATATTTCTCTATCTCTACTGTACATTTAATGCAGTTCTGAAATTTGCTAGCACAGCATAGGCTCCTCTCACATTGCCTTTTATATGGGCCTCTAGTGTCATTTTATTATCCAAAACCACTTCTAGATCTCATTATATGTCAGAAGTTATTAATATGTTTTCACATTATTTGTAGGTTAAGTGTGGCCTGTTCATCCCTATTCTGCATTATATTCATTATGTAACATTTATTTACATTGAATTTCATCTGCCAAGTGTTGCTCCACTCACTCACTGCACTGTCATTACAGTGCATTTTTGAGGTCAATTACAGTCGTTTAAGTCCCTAATTTTCCCTAGCAATTACGCATAAAAAACAAACGTAATCATGTGTGTACATGTGTGTTTGTGTGTGTGTGCGCGCATATGTGTTGTAATTAATAATTATTAATTACATCAATTATTATTATAATTATTATACTATAATTAATTAATAATTATTACTCTTCCTTCTGCTGGGTCATGAAAGGAACTGGCCTCGGGTGAAAGGGGGCTGTGAGGATCTCTGTCTGGAATCCGTAGGTGTGGGGCTCAGACGTCCACCTCCTGGGGTTCGTGTGGCCCAAGCTTTGCTTCAGGAGGCTGGGGTCGTTCTTACTCTTGCTGGAGTGGTTCTTCTCTGGCCCTGACCACGCCGGTCTCCGGGTTTGGAGTCCCTGTGCCTTCTTTTACCAACTTCGAGGTAAACTCTGGAGCTGGAGCCCCTAGGGCAGTTCATTGTTGCCTTCAACCTTGTTCTGACAGTTCCTGCGACAGCGCTGTAACCAATCGTATTGGCATTTGCCTTTCCATTGGAGACTTTCGGTGCCATGGAGAGGGGAGATCTGCTGCATGTGTGGCAGTTTCTCCCCTGTATCGACCTACCCTGGCTTTACACCCTGTAGAGGCCAATCCAGACAGACAATCAGAGCATAACTCCATAGTCTCCTGAGACTGATGGATGCCTACTGTGTGTGTTTTGTACTCATCTAGTTGTGCTTGTGGGGGTTGAGTTTTGGGTTTTTGTCCTCCTCTCAACTGTCAATCAACTGGTGTACAGATTCTGGAGCCTCTTGGGCTCTATCAAATCTACATTTGAAACTGTGTATGGCATCTGCCTCCACCACATCACTGCCTAATGCATTCCATTTGTTAACTACTCTGACACTAAAATTCTTTTTCTAATGTCTGTGTCTCATTTGGGTACTAAATTTCCACCTATGTCCCCTTGTTTGAGTTCCAACCATGCTAAATAGTTTATCTTTGTCCACCTTGTCAATTTCCCTGAGAATTTTGTGTGTTCTGTAATTAGAAAAATAATAATGGTCATAGTCTTTTAGGGGATATGGTTATCATGTCTCCCTTTACTCTTCTGTCTTCCTGGGATGTGAGGTTTAGCTCTCATAGCCTTCCTTGTAGCTCATACCTGTCGGTTCTGGGACTAGTCTGGTGGCGTACCTCTGAATTTTCTCTAACTTTGTCTTGAGCTGGATTGGTCTGACATAAGTGGTATACAAGGTCCTGAATGATTCCTTACACAAATTTCTAAAGGCAGTTCTTATGTTGGCTAATCGAGCATATTCTACTGAAGATATCCTTTTGATGTAGGTTTCTGGGGACAGGTTCGGTGTGATATCAACCCCCCAGATCTTTCTCTCTACGTGTTCTTGCCTAGTTGTGTTGTGGGGGTTGAGCTCTGGCTCTTTGGTTTTGGCTGTGTGTGTGGGTGTGTGTGTGTATAATGTAATGTATATTAATAATATTAGTCTTGATATTATATATTATCATATATATATTCATGTATAATATTACTCCCTCCCTGGAACACCACATTATCTCTATTATAATATTAAACATAATATTAAGTTCTATAATTAGTAAAATAATAATGGTCATAGTCTTTATGGGAATATTTAAGTTTTCTTTCTCTGTTTTTATAAATAAATATATTGAAATCTTTCAGGCTACTTCTTGGTATTAAATGGGTCACACACAAGAACGGTGCTCCAACGCCGTCGCCCCCCTCCCCCTCCTGATGTAACGCACTCCTTCACTGATAAACAAGTACGTTGAAAAGTCATTAGTTAAAAAGTTAAAATATGAATTAAGACATGAATTTACTTGCAAAAAAAAAAAAAAAAAAATAGTAATTCATTTGTAGAAATACTTGTGTGTTAGGAAAATTACAGAAATACTGTACTGTACTGCCTTTTGCAATGTATTTGTTATTCATATTTTCCTTTATGGTACTTTCTTCATATGAGTAAATAATTGTTAAGTTATCATGGATATCATTGCATCAAAATTTTAATTTTTATCTTGGTTTTTGCTGGTCAGGACACCTTTGCTAGCTCCTTTATTTATATGCTTTGGGGCTGAATAGATAGTACACAGTTCTTTTGATTCTGGGTTTACTCTTCACACCAGAATTAAACAGTAACTTTTCAAATTCTCACTTGTATGTATTCTTCCTACTTGGTGTTGCCTGTGCTGTACAGTTAAGTTTTTGTACATCAGCGAGGCTTGCTTATCTTTCGTCTTTGCAGTTTGGGATTTCTTGCATAACTCGGCTGGTTCAGAACTTGTTAAGTTCCCCTGATACTTGAATAGTGCTCTGGATCCCTAGAAGAGTAGCCCCCAGATCCCTGGAAGAGTACCCCCCAGATCCCTGGAAGAGTAACCCCCCCAGATCCCTGGAAGAGTAACCCCCCCCAGATCCCCCCCCAGATCCCTGGAAGAGTAACCCCCCCCAGATTCCTGGAAGAGTAACCCCCCCAGATCCCTGGAAGAGTATCCCCCCCAGATCCCTGGAAGAGTACCTCCCAGATCCCTGAAAGAGTACCCCTCCCCCCAAATCCCTGGAAGCGTGCCCCCCCCTCCCAGATCCCTGGAAGAGGAACCCCCTCCCCCCAGATCCCTGGAAGAGTGCCTCCCAGATCCCTGGAAGAGTGCCTCCCAGATCCTTGGAAAAGTGCCTCCCAGATCCCTGGAAGAGTGCCCCCCCTCCCAGATCCCTGGAAGAGTACTCCTCCCAGATCCCTGGAAAAGTGCCCCCTTTCCCAGATATCTGGAAGAGTGGTCCCCCCCCCTCCCAGATCCCTGGAAGAGTACACCCCCAGATTCCTGGAAGTGTCCCTCTCCCAGATCCCTGGAAGAGTACCCCCACCCCAGATCCCTGGAAGAGTACCCCCAGATGTTTCGGTTGGTGGCACTTTGCCATCTCGGGGATTGTATGGTGCTTTTCTCGCTGTGTCTGAAGGTTCTTCTGTGCCATTATCCTGTTCTGGCTTTTTAGGGTTTGCTTCTGTTATGGCTTCTAGCTCCATCATTTGACAGGGTTTGGTTAAGCTATTCTTCTCAACTCTTCACTATGGAAAACAAGGTCATTGGGCCAAGAATTTTGGTGCACCCACATTTCAGTCTTTCTCGTTTGTCTAATTTCAACATATATGAGAGACCTCTGGCTGTCCTCAAGTGGGCGAACAACCAACTGCAGTTTGTAATACTGTTTCCAGATTGCAAAAATTTGGTGTTAGATCTTTCTGTCTGGAGAGAAACCACTGGATTTTTATCTATTTCTTCCAGTTAGTGTTGAGGATATTGGAGAGCTTTGTTGTCTCCCAATCAGTTTGTGTCTTCTGCCCAGGAAGCTGGTTCTTTGGGTTTCAGATTTCTCGACATCTGGTGAAGCCCCATTTGTTCCCGTTGCAGGTTTTGACCTGGCTGGGCTTGGTCTGGGATGCATGGACAGCACCCCCTTTCCTCTTTCACTACTGCACCTTTCATCTTGCATCTGTCTGGTGGTGCTTATCTATCAATGACAATGGGAGAGCAAGATCTAGCTTTTTGTGCCCCTCCTAGCTGCTTATACCTGATACGCTAATTACCTCTCTCTCGACATAAACATTTTTGTCATGTTTTTTCCTAGTTGTGGATGGAATTGGCTTCAAGAACCTCTTCTTTCAATGCATTCCTTCTATTTGCTGGGACCATTGGGTTAAGACCCCAAAGACTGCAAAGGTTTCTTTCTCTGCTTTCTTCTTTAGCATTTCAGGGTTTGGTTCTGTTGTGTTCTTTTCCCTCTTGCTTGTCGTTCATAGGCTCTTCAGCTCTCAGCTGGGGTCTAGTCTCTAGTGATCATCTTGTATGCCAGAACTGTTAGTCTCTTCCTCTACGGTAGGTGCGTATCCCAATGTGTGAGCTCGTGGCAGTTTAGTCTGCATTGCTAGACATTAATTTTCCGAGGGGCTCTGCACCCTCTGCTCCACTCTGATTGTGCTTCAGGAGTTAATTTTTTCAATCTTTCCCAGTGGAGTTGTACTCTGCAAGTAGCCAAGTACTGTATGTTTATTCTTGGGATTTATTTCACTGCATGGCTTGCATGCAGGTGTGTCAATTATGCTGGAGGAGGATCTCTTCCATTTCTGGCAAATCTCAATAGAGTGGTCCTAGGAAGAATCGGCCATCAGTTGGGTGTGCAAACTAGCTTGCATGTGGATCTGTTTTGTCTTGGTTCTTTCAGGAGCATCATTTGATACCCAATACTATTGTGTCTTATAGTTAAACTTTGGTGGCACTCTTCTTGTTGACTTTCAGGGTTAATCTCACTTCTGCCAAATTCTTGTAGTTGTCTCTAGTTTTCTTTCACCTCATTTTTGGGTTTCTTCATCTTTGGAGGATGAAGCTGTGTTAGCCATGTCGTCTAGTTGTCAGGGTGGGAGCTTCGTGCTCTTTTCAAAAACATTTTTTTCTTCTCTGTTTTTCTTTCAGGGTTTTGGGTTCCCTCAGCCTCCATCATAATTTCTTGTGAAGAAGAAGACTGGTTGTGTGGAGGGTTTTTTTGATGGTTGATGCTTGGATTCTCTGACAGGAATTCATTATATTCTTCATCCTATGGCCACCGGTTGTCATTTCTTGCCTCCACTTAGAATGTTTATGCAGATGCACTCTTCATTAGTTCCATGTTCTTGGTTCAGTGTTCCAGAACCCGGTTGTCTCAAGCAGTCTTGTGAATGCTTAGGACAACCATAGCAGTGCCATGCTCTTAAGGCTTTGGGTCAGTTGCTAAGCCTGCCCTGTTTTTCTTTGGGGTATTTGCCACTTCTTTCGCTCTTCATGCTAAGCGTGTCCTGTTTTTCTTTTGTTCTCCATTGTGAGATTCCTTGAGGTTGAGGAGATATTGAGGTTGGCCCTCCTAGAAAACTAGCACAATGTAATGAAGCTCCTCTTTCTGGTGGATATCTTGGTATCTCCTCGTTCCTACCCATTCCTATCTTGGTATCTCCTCGTTCCTACCCATTCCTATCTTGGTATCTCCTCATTCCTACCCATTCCTATCTTGGTATCTCCCCGTTCCTACCCATTCCTATCTTGGTATCTCCTCTGTACTAAAGTGCCCTCTCCTAACCTACCAGAGGACCTAAAACAGGACATTGTGTCAATTTCACGAGCTGCTATTATTTTCTTGTACAACAGTTTTTGGCCCTGGGTAAACTATACGTCAAAATGCGACATTCTATTAGAAGGATGAGTTGACCAACCAGTGAATTGGCCTGGGTAATAATTGTATATGTAGGATCAGTTTTGCAAATATAGTACATGCATTTGTTAGTACTTCTGGACCTTTTGGCTAAGATCTGAGTGTAGTTAGTTTTGGTGTGCTCTACCTTTCTGGTGGCCTTTTCTCTTTGTTGCTGTGGTGGTCCTAAATCCCCAAACTCCTCTTTCCCTCTGTTGTGTAGACCAGATTCTGGTACTACTTCTGGTCTCCAATAAGTGATTGTGAATTGTTAGGGCTTGGTGTGGTGCTGGAGGTTTAACAGGTTACCAATGTGTAGCTCAGGGAGGTAACGAGGGATCCACCAGAAAAAGGCGTTTTATTACTGTACGTTCAATTCGTTTTTTTTTTATTTCTATAAGGGTGATACAAAATGTGAAACAAGATTATGATTGCATTATTGAGGGTTTTAACCTTCATGAGTAAGGAGACAGCATTGATAGTGCCAAAAAGATTATTTCTTGATTGTATATGGAATGGATTTACTTATATTAAAGGATGTTTTAATCTCTTTCCTCTCTTTAATCTCTTATGGGATAGCTACATAATAATAGCAATGAGCAATGAACAGTATGGTAAATATAGTTTTTGTGTATAATTACATTATATCTTTTGTTTCCTAATCCAGTGGAACCCTGCTCGAACAAACCCCCCATGTGTACGAAGCTCTGATGTAGAAGGGTTCTGTTCCAGTCTGAACCTGGTTGCAAGAGCAAAAGTTCCTACGGAATAGGATCTCGATGCCAACAGAACGTTAGGAAATTCAACAAAAAATATTAGATTATGATTTTGTATGATTTTTGTATGAAATGTATGATAATAACATCATCTGAGCTGTCTCATTCAGTTCCTTCCTGAGGTAACCTCTGGAGTGTCCTTGGATCGGAACATAACAGTTAGGCTGGGCAACATATTGATGCTGGCATCACAGGGAATGTTTCAAAAACTGTAGTTCCTTCAAGGACCTTTACTTTCAAATGTGGGTATCATCAAAATTGTCACCTCGTCTATGGGGAAAATAAATAAAAGTAATAATGATTTTATTCTTATAGAATAGTATAAGTGCATAAATAAATTAAGAAAATGACCAAAAAAAAGGAATCTTTGACTTTTCTGGTTTGGTGAGCTGTATTGTAGAAAGAAGACGAGTGGCAGGATCATTGTGCTTTTCGATGCCAGACTGGAGAGTTGTTCACACAGTGGTACTCAGAGACGACTCATATGTTTTGCCTTGGATGCTTTTCTTTGTTATTTCACTTGTTAGTTGTAGTGTTTGTGTTGAATATCACAATTTATCAACACATAATTGACAAAAACAGTTACCGAGTACCGAGGCCTACAATGTAGTATGTATATCAGTTACAAGTAAATCTGTTCCTGCCATAGCTCAAATGAGTGTCTTGCAATTCACTTCTTTGGTGCAATTTTATCTAAGGATGTCATCCAGGCATGAATTAAAAAACTAGTGGAAAAAGTCGAGTTGTCGTAAGATAATCTTGGATCCGTAGTACATGATAACCTTATTTGCATAGTAAACAATTACAAAATGATTGCAAATTTTTTCATGCATCTTGGTTAACTCAATTACATCCTTATAGAGCAATCACAGTATAACCATGTATACATTATTGGTATACAATATAAACTGGGCAATAATAATGATACTGTAATCAGCAAATGACAACTTCAGGTTCATTTGAAGTTCAGATCAACAAATGACGATGACTGCACATTGAGAGTTAAAGGTGCTAGGGAAATCACTGGAAAACATAGCCCAGCCCAGAATGATTGCAAGGGGTTGTGTAAAATTAAAACAATGTGAAGTAGTCCTGTTCCCTCCCTTAAGTGACTACCAAAGAGGACTTGGCTAAGTACCAGTTGGCCTTCTTTAGTGCACTCATACTGACTGCCATCAGGTCCGAACACCATTTACATCTCCAGGTTCCTCCACCCTATAGATCTCGCATACACGTACTCCCCCAGCTCGTGTCTTATATAGTTGACATCCGAGCAACTGATTTTCTGAAGAGCTAAACCTATGTTACTACCTAGGAGCTTGTTTCTTCTTACAGTGTTCCCTGCAGACACACAACATAACGGCCCCCAATTGTTACCTTATTACAACTTGTTATAAAGTTTTTTGACATTTTAGAAAGTTGTTACAACTTGCTAGATACTTCTTGCTACTTGTTTGGAGGTGTTACAAGTTGTTCGTACGTTGTAGCAATGTTGCTGTTTCATCGTGTGTTTGGCGGACTTAGCTTTGTTTTAGTGTCCTTTGATATTTTTACCTGTGTCTCAGTTCAGTCCCATGGTGCACAGCATTGACTTTGCTCTGTGAGCTGATACCACTTCATTTACAATCCTTACAAAATCATTGTGTTAGGTGTTTGGTTTCTGTGTACTAGGTACACATACCTATTTCCATCTGTAGGGCTACAAGAGTTAGGTTAGTGATTGTTAGTAAGTTGTGTCATGGCCATGTCTCTCTTGTATCCTTGTATTTCATATTGGGTGGAAGTTCTGGTTACATGTAATTTGCCTATGGAACCCTGGTTTTGCCTTCTAGTGTGTGGCATCACATGCAGCACTGTGGGGATTGTCAAACCTAAATATATATACTTGGTACAGTATGGAGGAATGATGAATGGAGCTCTTTGTTCTGGGAGACTGAGAAGTCAGTTTCATCCTAAGATGTGTGACAATTGTCAAGTTTAGGTGATGATCCCATTTGAGCCTTCTACACAGTAGGCTGTGCATGGGCATCTTGCTGATTATGGACCACTTCTCACTCCCTTTCTCTTTCACCTGAATCTAATTCTGCATTTAACCCAAGACAGGCTTCCTTGAGGTTTCATGGAGGGGACATTGTCACAATATAACACCATATAGCCCAGAGAGAGATGTATGCTTAAGTCTATTCTCATGAGAATCCTCCTTGTAGCTTGCTTGTCCTTGGATGTGGTGCTTTATTTCTTTTACTCTTTTCTCAGTTTCGGCTGCCTCCTTCACTTACAGATGAATTGAGTGAGCCTTTTGATGATTTTGGGGTTCAATGTCTCCGCGACCTGGTCCTTGACCAGGCCTCCTAAGCTGAAGGCTCTGCTTTTTGTTAGCTCTTGTTACTGGTAGACGACCTCCTCGCTTTGCAGTATTTTTGCTATTTGGTACAGGTGACTAGTGTGTGTGTGTAGTTGTTGTTGCCTCCATTTTTCTGGCTAAGAAAGATTCTTTCGTTTTGTCGTAGACAGATTCTGGTTATGGTTTTTTGCTTGCCTGCCTGTCTACTGTATCTTGTGCAAGTATCTTTGGGCCTCTTTAACTTGTCTGTGCATTTTGTTTATCAAATTGCTCTGGGCCCATGTTCAAAGCACTCTCTCTCATAACTGCTGCATGGTGTGGTCAAGTTTAGTCAACACCATGTTTATACTTGTGCCCATGATCTGCAGAAGTTCACCATTTGAAAAGTATTCTCCTTGGAGATGTCTTTCTCCAAGATCTGGGTCATGGCTCTTTTGATTTCCCCTTATCTGCTTAACTTGCTGCTCCCTTGCCTTTGGACAATCTGTAATTTGTGTGATCTCTGGGTTTCCTGTGCTTCATAGGGCTTCCTCGTGTAAAATCTCTACTTTTGTTGGGGTCCCTAGAGTTTACAAGAAGAGGCATTGAATTGGGGGAGTAATTGAGAAAACCATTCTAAAAAAAGACTATGTATTAAGTGGAATCAAACTCTCCCTTTTGGACTTTCCCCTCAGTTGATCCTAGTTCCTTCTCTTTAGGTTCTGTCTTTCTTGAATTCACTTGAATGGAATTTGCTAGAAATGGGAGTTGGCACCTCTTCTGATGCTGTTGTTCTAGATAGTGGGGGACACCTGGTGGTGGTTAGTGTAGTGGCTACTTTGTTAGCCATGTATTTTCAGACATAAAATTGGCTATTCTTATGGTCCAAATATTGTTTGTAGTAGAACAATATATTCTTTGGAGCCATAGTGAACTGTGTTTGCCAGTGGATTGCGGTATGGTTTCTTTTGTCTCCTCATACTTAAACTATGAGAGCATAATACTTGAAAAACAGTTTATTCTGTTGGGGCTCAAAGTTGACCAGAGCTTGGCATGTTAGCATTGACCTGGATGGACCAATTACACTAGCTAGACAAGCAACTGAAGGATCATGAGGAAAGTGTTTAATTTTATTCAACGCTATTGTATTTAGATGCACTTTTCTGCATTTGGAATGCTTAGAATGTGTTAATTCTAAGAAGTAAAATGCAGTAAAGTATGGTTTGTTTCTGCTTGTTAGCGTTCCATTTTAGAATACTGTAATAGATAGTACCTGTAGCTTGTACTTTGTTATCTGCGATACAGAATTAATCGGGAAACATTACTTCTTATGGCATGCAGTATTTCTGTAAATAAAAAAAACCAAATCCTTAGTAATTAGTAGTTTTAAAGAGAACACACCCTACATTTAGGAAACCACTGGAATAAGGTATTATGATGTTATAGAAACATGTGGAATATAAAGGTCTTTGACTTGATGAAGTGGCAAAAACTTTTTTACGAATTTGTGGATAATAGGAGAAAGGAAATCCTGAGAGAAGAAGGTAGATATGTATTGTTAGTGTTAAAACATCTACAAGGAAAAACACAAAATACTGTTACCGTGAATAATTCTTTTAATCAGTACTCTATTAAATTGCCGAGATATTGCTCTGGATATTTTAATGGAGTCTGATGATGCTAGTATGCAATAATGATTCTGAGTATGGAAGTTATTTTGAAAGGAAGGGTTAGAAAGAACATCTATGGGCTTCTTTTCCTTCAATGCTTTAATTCTTGACAAGTATTTCTCCAAACCATGGAAGTGGTAAATAGGATTATAGGAATATAATATATCATATTCAAATATGATTATTTGAAGTTAGTGTTTGATTAGTTATGGTACCTCTATCAAAGCATCTCTTCAATGCAACTTTACATTGTGATGTAGAGTGGTCAAGATGCTCCTGAACTTATGAGAAGTAGCATCAGTATAAATATCTAGGAGAGCTGGCAGTATTGATAACATTGGGATTTAGATTTAAAAATAAATAATGCAAAGCTTGTGTAAAAGAGCTGAATTTATTATACAGTATCTTGAAAGGAGAAGAATAAGAGGTACAGTAATTTAGTACAAATATTTAATATCATTAAAGGGCAAGACAATTTTGACCCTGTAAAATATTTTAATTTTGGATTGTCAAACATCACTTGAAACAATGGCATTAAAATAAGAGCCAAGTGATATCAGTCAAATGCAACCAAGTACTTTTTCTTTAATCGAATAGATTACTAAATAATATAATTCAGTATAATACCATGTATGCATTTGAAAATAGAATTTACAAGTGCTTTACAGTACTTCTCTTCAAATCAACTCCTTGTATTGTTTGCACCACCATAAGCTTTCCACAAACAGCTTAGTTTTGATCTAAAGTCTGTTGCAGGCGATGAATCACAATAACGTGGCTAAAGTATGTTGACCAGACCACACACTAGAAGGTGAAGGGACGATGATGTTTCGGTCCGTCCTGGACCATTCTCAAGTCGATTGTGACTTGATTGAACATTCTAAAGTCTGTTCTTTGAATTTATTTGTAATCCTTTAAGACTGTAGCTATTTATAGGTTAATTCTGTATTTTATATTTTTTTATCAGGGGTACATGGTTCTTGGACGAGGGACCATGTCTGGGGAAGAGCCTTCCCCTGCGCTGTATGGTAAGTAATAATATATATACATCATTGTTGAGTAGCAGGACTCAAGTAACAAGCAGTACTTGTTCATAAATATTTAAGTTGATAGTTTTCCAGGTAACCTAGAGCATCAGAAATCTGGTTATCAGAGTACTGTATAGGAAAGAAACATCTTCTGAAAGTGGTGTTTTAGTGTCGACTGTGAGCAAAATTAAGACCTAACATGTTTGCAGTAGGTTATGTTACCAGTGTCCCTATATACTTTTTGTTCATTTAAATAAGTTGTGTTTACAGAGGTCTTTGATAAATTTATTTCGGCAAGTAATTAAGTATGTTTTGAACTGTGCAACCAGAATTGTAATGATTTCTCGGTCAGAATTGATACTAACAAAATGAACATTATAATTCTCTGCTTCATTTAAAAAAATATTACCAGTACCCTAAAAGGTACCTGAACTATTATGTGGTCCTGACACTTAAAATATTTGAAAATGCAGCAAGGATGCTGGTGGGGCAGTAAATAGGAATCTTAAAAGTAAAAGTTCCATCATCCCTGCACTAGGGCCTAATGTTTGATGTAGTTTTTATTCTAGATTTTGCATAGGATTCCTCTTCATTTCATTTATGGCCTTTTCCTCTAAATATTTGTAATATTTTTGCCATGGCTTTTTCAAGTGCAATGATACATTGGGCTGCCAACAATATCTATGTCACAGATTGTGTAGAACATCATACATAGTGATATAAATATATCACAAATATGCACACCGCAATATAATATTAGAACAATAAAACATTCTAATTTTGCTGTTATCATACTGTATACACACATCATATATAACTATACTGTATATGTATATATTGCCAACGGCCATACCATGCTGAGAACACCACTTCTCGTCTGATCAGTGAAATTAAGCAACAATAGGTTGGTTAGTACTTGAATGGGTGACTGCCTGGGAACACCAAATTCTGTTGGCATTAAATTTTAGGGTCCTGGTAGGACAGTTGGGTTCATTCTTGACTCACAATTGAGAATTCTGGGTTTGAATCCCACTCGACTCACGATCGAGAATTCCGAGTTTGAACCTCGGGCGGGACAGAAATGGGTACATTTCCTATCACCTAATGCCACTGTCCACCTAGTAGTAAACAGGTACCCTGGAGTTAGTCAGCTTGTGAGGTTGCATCCTGGGAAGGGTCAGTAATTTGACCCTAGGGGAGGGGGGGGGACCTCGATATAAGACTAACTTGTACTGTACTGTATATATAGACTGGCTGCCTGTTCCCCGACACAATGACTTATCAAAACTATGTACATATTAAGTACCATCAGAAACCAGTAATCAGTTCTAGTGGGTTGGATAATCTCTGAACCTTTTATCCAATTTGACCCTTTCCCTTCACACACGGCACCTGACAAAGCAAAGTGCTGCCGGTATCACTATGCACAACACTAACACCTGCTAAAACACTGCTAGTGTTTTGGTGACCAGGATTATAATCAGTTTGTAAATCATGAAAATTGATAATTTTTCACATTTCATTTTCCAAAGGAACATATCTTGTTGTATGATGCATGTAGACGCCAAACCATGGCTATGTGCTGTGGTGTGTGTTGTGATGGGGAAAAAGGATTGTCAATGGAACATTGTTACTTGCATCAGGTTCACTGATGTCTGAACCGTGTACATAGTCTTTATCACAATCGGGATCTTCTATATCATTATAATCATTAAATTTTTGCAGTTTCTTTTTTATTTTATCATTTGTAAGTGATGCATTTAGCAAAGCTACATGCTGGTGTTGTGATTTGCTGCTATATGTCTTACTTATGTTAGCTGTATTAGTATCAAGGCCCTCAACCTTTGGAGTGGTCCCCATGATTTTTTCCAAGATGGCATCTCTTTACTGGAGGCTTGAGGCAGTGGATGTGAGCCCCGTGTACCCGTGGAAGTTTCATACCTTACTCTTCACCTAAAATTGACCTTAGTTGACATGTGCTCCACTGATAAAACGACTCTGGTGTATATGCACAGCTGAAGGATTTTTAGAGTTTAGAATCCTTTTAGAAGGATTTCAGATTTTCAATTAGCTACAGTTAAAATGTGGTTTGTCATGTATAATAATTTACAGCCGAGAGTATTTTTTCCTATTTTTTATATTCATTAGGTATTTAATATTAAATATTATTCCAAATATTTTTTACTTAATGTTTTACTGCACTTGTACTGTACGTAATTTGACTGTTGTGGTCATCAACCTAGGACAAGTGCACATGTACCAACCATGTGTTTTGCCTGTGAAAGTTCTGTCTGATCTGTCATTATTTATGCATTTTAACTTAATTTTCTTAGGATATAGCATTATTTTTGAGTTGAAAGCATGTTGTCTGGCAAAAACCGTATGGATGTATTGGGTAATGGTAAGAGGAACTTTGCTACCATGGATAAGAAAGAATCATTGTTAGACAAACAAGACTGTGGCAGGGACGTATGGCATTGGTACCAATATTGTTTGTGACATAATTAAAGCAAAGGAACAGAACATGGAGTTTGTGAATAAAAGGTAAAAAAGTGGTGGTTAGAGTTGACGAAAAAGCCTCGAGACCTTCATAGTATGAGGACATGGGTGATGCTGTTTACCTGTGGTTTATTCATCATTGTAGACTGGGGTTAGCTGTTGGTGGCACACAGTTAAAATCTGTAGTTTGTAGAATGGCATGAACCATGGCAATGAGGACTTCAATGTCAGATCAGGGTGGCTGTGAAGTTTAACAGATGGCACAACAGACAGGAGGAGGATTTCTGATGAGAATCTTTTTGTACTGATAACAGGGAGCCATATAAGATAAAACTGCATTCTCTCATAACCAGACATAAATATCATTTTCTGGGAGGGCTGCTCTTTGTGGCTCCTTGATACCTACCTTCATAGCTCCACCTAATTCAATACATTCCAGGCCCTTGTGAGTCATTGTAAGCCACTGGGGACTGAAAAGCAAAACTTGTTTCCCCTTTAAAGAGGTGCAAGGAGCAGATCACACCCAAATCATTTGTATATCTCCCCCAACACTCCAAAATAAGCAATCTCTCTCTTCCACAGTAGTTATATGTTAGCGCAGTGTAAATGTGTATACTCGGCTTATTACATTAGGCCAATGGTCGGCAAGTGGAGACTGGATGACATTAAATGCCAGGGTAAAAGAATCAAATAAAATTTAATAATCAACTTTCAAATTAAATCAAATATGGACATTGGCAACACTCTCGGGAACATATCGCTCTCTCTGGCAACTATCCATGGGGCATCACGAAACTGGATCTCACTGGATCCTATCTTCACATTCTCTTGTTTAGCTACAAGCTAGACAGTGCTCTATCCAAATGTCTCGCCAGTTCTTCACCTCCGTGGCACTCTGGTGGCGGACCCAGTGCAGGTCGCGACCGAACTGGGTTCCCATTTTTCTTCTGTTAGCTCTGGTTCTCATTCCCCTCACTCTTTCCTTCTTCGTAAGCCCGTTCTTGAATCTCATCCCTTAAATGTACACACTCACCTCTACCTTTCCTATAACGATCCCCTTTCTCTCTCTGAACTTCAGTCTGCTCTAGCCCTCTGTGGTTCTACGGCAGTGGGCTTGGAAGGCATTCATTATGAGATGCTTCGACATCTCCCTCCTTGCACGTCTCGGTATTTACTGGGTCTGACGACGTCTGGGAGACGTCGTCAGTCTCTGAGGACTGGCTTGATGCCGTTGTATTTCATATTCGGAAACAGGGGTCTCTCGGGACATCCCCTAAAGACTTTTGCCCTATTACCCTCAAGAGTTGTGTCTGCAAACTCTTTTGAGCGTATGGTAAATGTTCGTCTGATGAGGTTTTATTTTAAACCGTAAGTAGGTGACCATTTATATTGTTGAAGAAAAGGCCACACACTAACTGTACCTCCCAATTATTTTTTATACACATTGCAGCTTTCCATGTTTTTTTAGGTTTTGGCATTACTAAACTTGTTCAAATGTTCTATCTTTCATAAGTAGGTTAATTACAGTACTTGCGTGTATACAAATATTCAGTCAAGCAGGCACACACGCTTAGGTATAGGCATGTCGGCTCTGGACTAGCGAATATAGTTTCACCCTTGGAAAATTGGTTACAAAATTTTGTGGTGATGGTTCTCAGCATGGAAGAGCTTATCGCTAATGAGGGTGCATCTCTCATAGGAATCTTCACTTGTGATAGAAGGCTTGGGCAGAACCTTTAATTTATTTTATTAAAGGCAATGGAGGTGAGACATGCTAACTGACAGAATATTACAAAGCATGGAAATTGAGAGATTAACGGTACTAACTGCATTAACTGCGGGGCGCTTCAAGCAACAGCCTGTTGGACCAAGCTCTCACAAGTCAAGCCTGGCCTTAGGCTGGGCTTGGGGAGCAGAAGAACTCCCAGAACCCCATCAAGCAGATAACTGAACATCAAATGGTACATTGTGAACATTTATATACTGTACTTGATACTGGCTAAACCCACAGTAGTAGGCATCCATCAGTCTCAGGAGACTATGGAGTTGTGCTCGGGTTGTAGGTCTGGAGTGGTCTCTTCAGGGTACAAAGCCAGGGTAGGTTGATACAAGGCAGAAGCTGTCACCTATGCAGCAGGTTCCCCTCTCTCCACGGTGCCAAAAGTCTCCAATTGAAAGGCAGACGCCAATACTGTATGATTGGTTCCAGCGCCGTCGCAGGAACTGTCAGACCGATGTTGACGGTAACAATGAACTGCCCTAGGGGCTCTAGCTCTGGAGTTTACCTTGAAGTTGGTAAAAGAAGGCAGAGGGACTCCAAACTAAGAGACCGCCGTGGTAGGGGCCGGAGAAGAACCACCCCAGCCTCCTGAAGCAGAGCCTAGGCCACACAAGCCCCGCACCTATGAGTTTCAGACAAAGATCATCACTGCCCCCTTTCACCCGAAGCCGGCTTCCTTCATGACCCAATAGAAGGAATAGTAATAAATATTAATTACAAC